CCCTCTCTACTTCCCGACCTCACTCATTCATTCGACACCTATGCATTAAGCACCTGCTGTCTACCAGGCACCAGTCCAGACCCCGAGGAAACAGAGTCATGAACAAAACAAGCAGAGACGGCTGCCTGGGTCCCTGGGGGAGAGCGCGCATTGTAGCAAGAGACAAGCACATTATACAAAAAAGATAATAAATGGGTAAGTCGTATCTTACGTAGGTGAGGCAGCCCCTCCCTGCCCAACTCTGTCACTTGTAGGAAGGCTATAAATGCTACAGAAAAAAGAAAAAGTAGAAGGGGATAGAGGAGATTAGGGGTCCCCGCTGGGGCAGATTTTCTTATTCAACAGGGGGGTCAGGTGAGGCAGCCCCTCCCTGCCCAACTCTGTCACTCTATCTAGATTCCCCCGAAGTGCTTCCGGGTTCCCCAGGGCACCTGGCAGAGAAATCCTCGCCTGGACTCAAGCATTGGATGAAACACAACCTTCCTTAACTTCTCCGGGCCTCTTGCTCTCCCTCGCCCCCCGGAGGCGAGCGGTCATGGAGCCAGTCCTTCCCCGAAATGAGAACAGCTTGGTGACAGGCTGAGTCCTCCTGCCCTGTCTGCCGCCCATCTCCGGGGCTCCTGGCTCCTCGGGGTTGTCGCTTGGGCCTCTGCCCAGCCTCACTCCGCGGGCCTCACCCCGAGCGCGCCCCCAGGCACGCAGCTCCCGCCTGCATGCTCACCGACAGACGACCCCATGGGACCTGCCACCCAGATACCTGGCCGGACGCCCTCCGTCTGCCCAGCGCGTCCCTCGCTGGTGCCCAGAGCTGCCCCTGACCCTCTCCTGCTCTCAGGGCTCCCTAGCGCCCCCCAGGACAAAGCCCTGATCTGAATCTGGCATTCGAAATCCTGCACCCGGGGCGGGAGGAGGGGCTATATAGTCATCCGCCTCCGGGTTTTGTCACTTACGCTTCCACGACGGCTTCCACCTGCCCATGCCTGACTGACTGATCAGGACACTCCGGGCCTTGGATGCTCCGCCCACTCCGCCGTCCAACCTCCAGCCCCACCTCCACCTGGCTAACGCCTGCACATCGCCTCCTCCAGGAAGCCCTCCGGGAGTCTCTGGCTGGGTTGCTGCATCCTCGAACTGGCCTGTGGCCCTCTGTTTATACAGCTGTCTCCTCCATCAGACTAACACCTCCCGAAGGGCCCGGGTTTGAGTCATCTGGGTGCCGGGCATCGCCCAGCTGAGGGCCTGGCCGGCCAGCAGGGCAGATATTCCTGCAGTAAAAGAATGTTCTCTCCTCTGCCTCTCCTCCATGTCTGCCTTATCATCTCCCCACTCTTCACTCCTGCCCTGCTGGTCTGGAGACCACACTCTGAGGTTTTCTGATGATGGCAGAAGTCTTGGAAGGGCCATTTGGAAGGCCTCGGGTCGGGGATGGGAGGTTAGCCCCCCAGGGGAGTGGAGGAGGGTTCTGGGAGAGAGACGGCTGTGAGCAAGCAGAGCAGGAGGTGGTCCTGCCATGAGTAGTCTGTCTCTTGGGGAAGGGCCCAGTTTCATCTGTCCTTGGCTTTCAACTCTGTCCTGGCTGCTTCCAGCTTCGGTTAGCACTTCCTGCAAGGGATTCTGGGAGACTGGACTCCTGGTATAAAGGAGGGGCTGGGGGCCCGGACCCCCGGGTCTGAGGGGTGAGGAGGTAGGGGCCTGGACTCTTGGATCCTAGAGAAAGAAACTGTTGGGGTTTAAAGTCCTGGTCCCTCCACACTCATCTACGTTCTGGTTTTAGAAACATCTGGTTTTATACAGCTGCTCCACCCTGGCAGGGTGGGGGTGGGGGCTGGACAGCCAAATACCCAGTTTCTGAGTGGAGCCTGGGCTGCCCCCACCCCCACCCCGGGGTAGAGGAATCACCCTCCCCGCCTGCTCCGGGCTCAGCTCCCACCGGAGGACCCATCATCCTGACATAGCCAGACACCAGGCGGCGGCCCAGGCTCCCGGCACCCGCGTCAGCACGGGCACGCCCTGCCTCTGGTGCTGTGGGCCGGCTCCCCTCCGCTGGGCCCTGAACTGGCCTGCTCCCCCCTGACGGCCAGGCTCAGGCAAAGGCCCAACCGGGTACTGCCCCCGTCCCCGCCCACATCCTGCCTTCCAGGGAAACCCAGGAAACGAGGGCTTGGCACCTTGTGGGGTACAGCTCCAGGACAGGCTGGACACGATGGAACAGCAGGCAGAAAGGACTTAGAGACAGAAAAACAGAGCAACAGTGAAGGAGAGAGAGAGAGAGAGTGAGTCAGAGCCAGAGAAACACATACAGGGAAAGCACCTCAGAAAGAGATACACGGAGATGCGGAGAGATGGAGGGTGGATAGAGGCCGAGCTCGATGGATCAATCGATCGATCGATAGATAGATACAGGCAGGGAAAGGAGAAACAAGCAGCCACTGAGAAGAACGGAGAGAAACAAAAACTGGGGGACAGAAAAGAAAAAGAGATAGAGATACAGTTATTCAGAGAGTAAGAGATAAAAATATATAGAGAGGGACAAACACAGAGAGAGAGAGAGAGAGAGATTGAGAGAGAGAGAGAAAGGAGAGAGAGAGAGAGAATATACACATCTTACAAACACTTGGCTTATTACACTAATTATACACTATGATGAGAAGGTAAGGGAGGGACACTCGGAAAGAAGGAAGGACGGAATAAGAAACTCAGGAGCACCAAGAGTCAGACATTTAGCTACGCAGAAACAAACCCAGATGAGAAGGTAAGGGAGAGGCACTCGGAAAGAAGGAAGGACAGAATCAGAGAGTCAGACATTTAGCTACGCAGAAACAAACCCAGATGGAAGCAGGTGGAAATGCAAAGGGAGAGAGACGGGAACACACAGAGAAAGAGAACCGGACAGACAGGTGGACAGAGAGAGAGGGCAGGGAGACAGAGACAAGGGCCAGACTCGGGGAACAGAGGCCGGGAGGACGTGGGAATGGATGGGGATAAAGAATCGGTCACAGGCACAAGGAGAGAGACGGATGTCAGCTCACAGTGAGAGGAGCAGAGAAGGAATCACATACAGAGGTTTTTCGGCACAATGACATTTATCACCCGAGTCCCCTGGTTCTGAGGGGCTGGGAGTTCAGACGCCCAGGGCCCTCATCTCTTGGGTCTCGGAGAGAGGCCCCTGGCTCCTTTGGAAGCTGACCTGGGGGCAGCTGACCAACAACTCTGAGCTTACCCCGGAGCCCCTGGGGAGACAAATCCCAGTGCCCCAGCCCCCTCTGCAGCCCCTGGCGCACACACAGACACACAGACACACAGACACAGACACACACACACAGACACACACAGACACACACACACACACAGAGACACACACACACAGAGACACACACACAAACAGATATCTAGAAAGATCCAAACCCTGACTTAGCGTAGTGGAGATCCAAACA